TATTAGAAATACCGTAAACTCACGGTATATCACATACTTAACTCGTCTCAACTTAACGCAACTCAACTCAAGGATACTCAACTCAACTCAATAATATTCAACTCAACTCAATATGAAAGCAACAATAAAGATGAATTTTATAGAAATAATTTTAAAAAGTAGATAATAACTCAATGTATATAAAAATATATAGTAGTAAACTCTTAACTCTTAGTTGGGAGATTCTCTAACCGACAACCATCACTATCAGCTACGTGATGATACAACGTCTCGCCCATGCTGGGAGAACTTTCCTATACCTTGACGGAGTATAGGACATCCTCAAATAAGTGGATCCACTAATCAATTCTTAAAAGGAATAAGGAATCATCTAAAAAGTATGACCCTTTACCCATGTTGGAATACATGGTTTATGAGGATTTTGAGTTGTCAGAACTCATCCCCATATCGGTGCTCAATAATACTCCCAATAATATATACATATATACCTCATTCTCATATGTTTTAAATAAAATATAACTCCTCCTCAATTTGAGATAATTACTCAAAAGATTTCTGTTAAAAGATATGATGCCTAAAACTACTCATAAACTTATTTAGAAAGCATAGTTTTTCTAATTTTAGATGTAAAGTATTACATACTTGGGAATAATTAGACCCCTCATACTCAATTTGAATAATGAACTCAACTCTCCTTATCCTCATACTCAATTACTCGAGTCTTAAAACAAGATATAAATAATTGTAGAAGACTTCTCAAAAGACTTTCTCGAACTTTACTCTTAATCTTTACTTTAATTTGAAAAGTGAAGTTAAGAGACATGACTAGAATATATGTAGGATCTCTCAATGATTTATGAAGGTTTAGATAGTTAGGATTAAGAAGGGAATGAAAGCTCGACTCAAAGAAATAAGTATGGACCGAAGAACATAAGGGAAGGTAGACTGACGCACCTAGCGCATCCTTGGCCCGTGGTGCCAGCCCTCCATTTACTGGGGATGGTTTGTGGTGCAATGCACGTGCAAGGAGCCATCCCTCCTGGTGCATCAAAGGCACGCCACCCTAGCCCTTTTCAAGAACATTATGACGAATTTTTCTTCTTGATTTTTTGTCCTAATTCACGTGGAATCGGTTGATTTCTTTCAAAATCCCTTAGATTCATTAACCCAAAACAAGTAAATGAAAATCTACTCAAAATCCCTCAAGGAAATACCCTCATTTGCAAGATCCTCACTTAAAGAACTCCACAAAACTCCATTATCAAAGAATGAAGCACAAAACCTCAAAGAACTAAATCAAGAACTCAATATACTCAATCTCATGGATGAATTCAAAATTTGAAACTCTTGATTGGTCTGAGGGTGATCAAACCCATTACTATTAAAACTTACATACCACGAAAGAACCAAGTTCTTGGCAACAATCCTCAAAACATGATGAACGCTTGAAGCTTTCTCCCTTTTTCTACTCTTGAACTTTGCCCTAACCTTTCAAACATTTTAGACTTGAGTGAAAACTAATTTTAATCATATTTGACCCTAATTTGGAGAAATAATGTGTAGGCCCAGTGGGCTAAGGAAGACAAAAATATCCCTCATTTAAAGGGAGGAATTACATTAACTAGATAGGTTGTACTCAAACAACCATATCTTCTTCATCCGAACTCGGAATTTAGCAAACTCGGTGGAGTTGGAAAGAGGACTTAACGACCTTCGTTTGATACCTTATGGGTCCTCTAACTCGTCATGTTTTTAAAGATATGGTCATTTGGAATTGACCCAAAACTTACAATATTAGAGTAACTTGTACCAATCTCAATTTAGCTCTTTCTAATTTAGTTCTTTCTAAATTTAGCTCTTTGTAGGACCAAGTGTTACATCTATTTATTAAACCATTCAAATAAATTTATCATAACCGACCCATTTGGTAGATATACCGACCTGAGTAATCTTGAGGAGAGTTGAAGTGTAGATCACATAAAACTTAGTTAAAACCAATGTGATCGCATAACCTTCTTTCCATTTGAAATAAATTGAATGACGGTAAATTTATCTCTTAGCCATAGTATTCCATTTCATTTGGTAAAATCACTTAAACGGCCCTCATAAAGTCATCCAATTAAACATTATAGAGTTATTTGTACATACAATATTATGTAAACTAATTCCTCTTTGCAAAAATTGAAGTATAATTATTAACATTAAATATCCAACATTGTCTTAGGCTTTCGTGAGAAAATAATTTACCGCACACTTGTTTCAAAAATATAAGGTGAATTCCATTAATTACAAATATATTAATAAACTCAAAATTCTACAGAAAAGACTAACAATGCGTTGTGGAATTCTCATTTTATTTTAATCTAGACGGATATGGAAAAATCTAGCAGAATTTGAAAATGTGCACACTTATTACTTATTTGAAGCTCATTTAAACATTTAAGCTTTTATGAATATTCACCAATTTTTATTGATACAATATAGAGACGTGCATGATATTAGAAGTACATAAGATATATTGTAGCAATATTTTTATGCAATTAATTTTTTTGCCTCACTTCATTGTCATTTTCCTATTTATTTCTCAAACTTGTGTGTTGTAGTTCTTCTGAGTCAAAGAGGAGGGATAAAGGTAAAAGGTAGAGACAAATGAAATGATATTTTTTTAAATATTCTCTGATCTAAACAATTGATTCAAATCTATTTTTTGTTTATAGATCTTTTCAGACATTTTATTTTAAACACTTATCACAAAAGGTAAGTTCATTTTTTAAAAAGGTGCATCTCTTGTTTATTTTTTTTTGGTGTAAACCTTATTTTTGTTGTTCTATTTTTGCAGCATGAAGAGATCGACAGATGACTCTGCATTTGGTTTTTTCCATAGATATTCGTAAGATGTTTGCCTCCTGTTCATTTTTTCTGGGTTGATTTTGTATGTACATAAATAGTTTGGATGAATTGTTGAAAAATTAGTTATCTTTAATTCCTATGAAGTATGGTTTGTGTATCTTAGTGATTAAGACACGTTAGATGCAATTTTTCTCCATAATTTAACAGTTTTGAGTATTTAAAATCAATTTTTTAACTTCTAGTATGAATTATTAGGAAAAATTAAATATAGAGACGGAATCTTTACATATATTGCGTATGTTAGGGTTGGTCTAGAATGAATTTTATTTTTCTCATAATTCTTTGATATGTTAAAGGATCAAACATATCAACAATACCACTATTTCTTTGGTTGTATCGTATTGAAGGATTTGTCGATTTTGAATGAACTATATCAAAAAATTCTTTTATCCCAATATAAGCATAGATTTTAAGTGGATGAGTGTATAACATAATTCTATATTAATATTTTGGACAAATAAATTTTACTGCTAGCTTTTAGCTATGGTTCTATGTGTCACAGTCAATCACAAGTTTCTGGAAGTGGTAAAGGTAATATAAATGGTGATAGTGGTGTTGAGAGAGTTGGTGCTAGTAAGCCAAAAATGAGGATTGATGAGGCATTCTCTTATTTGAACTTAACGACAAGTTTCCAAATCAAAGGGAGAAGTATATCATGTTCTTTGTTGTTATGATGGACTTAAAGAGCAAAAGGTTTTTTTTTTACCACAATTTGCCTATTTTGAATTGTCATTAATTTCTATTCTGATTTGATGGTTTATGTGGAACTATGTGTTTGATATTTCTCACATAATTGATACTGTCAGTGTCATAGAAAAAGTGAAAGATTTATTTAAAGGACATCCGAGTTTACTCCTTTGTTTAAATCCTTTTTTGCCCAATGGCTATGAAATACTCCTGAATGATGAAGATGAGAAAACATATTTCATGGAACAAGCACTTAGCTTTCCGAAAAAATTAAAGGTTACCATTATGTTACCTTATGATTTTAATAATAAAAGGCCTACCTTTTTATTCATTAAAAAACTTTACTCCAAACTTATAGCCTCATAACTTCTTGCAGGAACGGATAGAAAATTACAATTATCTTATAGATATTTTTCCATATTTAAAAACGGGTGCAAGAGCGCCAAAGAAGTGTATGATAAGGTCATAAATATTTATAATTTGAGTACATAGATATTATGGACAACCCTCGTGTTCTTGTTTATAAGTACTGTTTTTTTTATGTGTAGGTTGTCGTACTTCGCAAAGACCATCCATCTTTGCTAGAAGAGTTCAAAAAAATCTTCTAGGACGATTTAACTACTACTAATCAGCTGTCTTATTAAAACGACATTCAAACATTGATGAAGTGAAATATAGTACTTTTAACATGCTCCTTGTTTCAAATATACATCGCTACGTGAATTTAATATAAAATATATTTCCAATAGTTCAATTCAAAACTAATGTTGTTCTATATCGTTTTCATCCTTTGCTTCATCTATCCCTACATTTTTAACTTGATACTCATTTTTTATCATATGTGAGGTATATTTTTTTTTTTGTTCATTTTAACATTTTTAGTTAGTATATTATTAAATAAAGATAATACAATGTTATTATTAATTATGCATATGTCATAGGTTATAGATAGATCCCTTACTATAGTGACTAAATTATCCTATTTAAATATAACTAGTACAATTCGTCCCAGTTTTGTAGAAATCCGTCTATTTATCGACTCTGTCTATCTCAATCTAAGCCATAAAAAGTTACACTAATATCTTAGCTAGATTGACCCATGATTTATCATATCAAAATGTTTTACATAATTAGTTTTTCTTATTTGATATGTTATATGTTGGTGTCAAAATTATAATTTTAATAGGTGCAAAAAATTTATAAATGAACAAATAAAGCAATAGAAACATACTAAGAAGTGAGCGAATTGGGGCATGAGCCACATTTATCCCAATAAATTTCAACTAAAATAATTTTTGGGTGAGTCACTAATCCATCTATTTAGTAACTTAAATTCAAATAAATTTCTCATAACTGACCCTTTTGGTAGATATACCTACCCGAGTAATCTTGAAGAGAGTTAGAATTTAAATCACATAAATTTTGGTTAAAAGAAATGTGATCACATAATATTCTTTACATTTGAAATAGATTCAAATGACTGTTAACTTATCCATTCGCCAAAGTATTCCTTTTCATTTGGTGAAATCATTTAAATGACCCTCATAAAGTCATCCAATTCAGCATTATATAGTTCTTAGTATACACAATATGATGTAATCTTATTCCTCTTGGCAAAAATTGAAGTTTAATTATAATTATTAAATATCCAACATAGTCTTAAACTTTTGTGATAAAATTATTAACTGCACAATTGTTTCAAAAATATAAGGTGAAATGCATTAGTTGCAAATTTATTAATAAACTCAAAATTCTATAGAAAGGACTAACAACACGTTGTGGAATTATCATAATTGTCATTTATCATAATATATAGTGATGTAGAAAAATCTAACATAATTTCAAAAATGTGAACTATTATTACGTATTTTTAGCTCATTTTAAAATTTTACCTTTTTTGAATATTGACAAAATATTGTTGGTACAATAAACAAATGTGCATAAATTGATATTAGAAGTACATGAGATAAACAATAGCAATATTTTTTTTCTCAATTTATTGTTTTCCTCACTTAACCATTGACCTCTTTATTTCTCAAACTTCTCTGTGTTGTAGTTCATCTTAGTCAAGGAGGATGGGAAAGCAAAAAGTTAGAGACAACTAAACTGAAGAACGATTTTTTTATCTTCTCTCATCTAAAAAATTGATTCAAATCTATTTTTCATTTATAGATCTTTTGAGACTTTTTATTTTGCATACTTATCTCAAAAGGTGAGTATGTTTCAAAAATGGAGCATCTGTTGTTTGAATTTTTTTACTATAAAACTTATTTTTGTTGTTCTTTTTTTGCAGCATGAAGAGATTGAGAGATGAGTCTCCATTTGGATTTTCCCACAGAGATCCGTAAGATCTTTGTCTTATGTTCATTTTTATCAGGTCTAGTTTCTACGTACATAACTTGCTTAGGTGAATTGTTGATAAATTAGTTATTTTTAATTTCTATGATGTATAGTATGTGTATGTTAGTGATCAAGAATTGTTAGATGTCATTTTTTATAACTTAACAACTTGGAGTATATAAAATTATTTTTTTGTGTGCTACTCAACTTTATCACGCACAACAGAAGATAAATATTGAGTCTTTACCTATGCTGTGTTGTTAAAGTTGATCTAGAATGATTTTTATTTTTTGGATAATTCATTGTTATTTTAATGGCTCCAACATATCAACAGTACCACTATTTATTTGGTTGTATCATATCAAAGGATTTGTCAATTTTGAATGAATTTTTAAAACCTTTTTGTTGAATCCAAAGATAAATATTGATTTCAAGTAAATGAGAGTATAACATTATTCTATATTAATAAATTGGACAAATAAATTTTACTACCAACTTTAAGCTATGTTTCTATGTGTCAAAGTCATTCATAAGTTTCTTAAGGTGGTCTGGGTCATATAAGTGGTGATAGTGTTGTTGATAGAGCTGGTGCTAGCAAGCAAAAAATGACAATTGATGAGACATTCTCTTACTTGAACCAATTTAAGGACACGTCTTCAATCCAAAGATAAATATTGATTGCAAGTGAATGAGAGTATAATATTACTCTATATTAATAAATTGGACAAATAAATTTTACTACCAACTTTTAGCTTTGGTTCTACGTGTCAAAGTCAATCATATGTTTCTTAAGGTGGTCTGGGTAATATAAGTGGTGATAGTGTTGTTGATACAACTTGTGCTAGCAAGCAAAAAGTGACAATTGATGAGGCATTCTCTTAATTGAACCAATTTAAGGACACGTTTCCAAATCAAAGTGAGAAGTATATCAAGTTCCTTGTCATTATGACGGTCTTTAAGAGCAAAATGTTTCCTACTAGAATTTGCCTATTGTCTATTGTCATTAATTTCTCTTCTTATTTGATGATTTATGTGGAACTAAGTCTTCAATATTTTTTTATAGAATCAATATTGTTGGTGTTATAGGAAAAGAGAAATATTTACTGAAAGGCATCCTCGTTTACTCCTTGGTTTAAATCCTCTTTTGCCCAAGGGCTATGTAATATTCCTGAATGATAAAGATGACATAGAATATTTCATGGAACAAGCACTCAGTTTATGATATTAATAATAAAAGTTGTACCAGTTTTCATTTAAAAACATTACTCCTAACTTATTGCCTCATAACTTCTTGCAGGAACGGTTAGAAAGTTATTGTGAGCTCATAGATATTTTTTTTAATGAAAAGGGGTGCAAGAACACCAAAGAGGTGTACCATAAGGTGATACATATTTATAATTTGAGTATATAGATATTATGGACAATCCTCGTGTTCTCGTTTATAAGTACTTTTTGTGTAGGCTGTCGTACTTCTCAAACACCATCCAGATTTGCTAGAAGAGTTCAAAAAGAAATTCTAGGATGATTTAGTTACTACTAATCAATTATATTATTTAAATGACGCTAAAACATTGATGACATTAAATATAGTATTGTTATCATGCTCCTTGTTTCAAATATACATCACAATGTGGATTTAATGTAAAACATATTTGAAATAGTTTGATTCAAAACTCATATTGTTCTATATGATCATTCATACTTTGTTTCATCTAGCCCTACATTTTTAATTTGATACTCATTTTTTATCATATGTGAGGTATATATATATTTTTTTCACTTTAACATTTTTAATTAGTATAATATTAGAGATAAAGATAATACAATGTTTGTATTAATTATGCATATGTCAAAGGTTATAGATTTATAAGATGGTCTAACTATACTGATAAAATTAGCCTATTTAAATATAACTAGTACAATCCATCCAAGTTTGGTATAAGTCATATATTTATCAGCTCTGACGTCCATTACAATCCAAGCCGTAAAAAAGGTACACTAATATCTTAACCAGATTGACCCATGGGTTATCTTATCAAACTGTTTTAAAGAATAGTTTTTCTTATTAGATATGTTATATGTTGGTGTAATAAATAAAAAAATATAATTTTAAGAGGTACCAAAAACTTATAAAAGAAAAAATAAAGCATTTGAAATTTAGTAAGAAGCGGACGGATGAGGGCATGAACCACATTTTATCCCAATAAATTGTAACCTAAATAACATTTGAGTGAGTCAGTAAGTCATATATTTATAAACTCATATTGAAATAAATTTATCATAACCGTCCCATTTGGTAGATATACCGACTTGAGTAATCTTGAGGAGAGTTAGAGTTTAGATCACATGAAATTTATTTAGAAGAAATGCGATCACATAACCTTCTTTCCATTTGAAATAGATTTAACTGACGGTAAACTTATCCCTTAGCCAATGTATTTCATAATATTTGGTAAAATCATTTAAATGACCCTCATAAAGTCATCTAATTCAACATTAATTTAGTATATACAATATAATGTAATCTAATTCCTCTTTTCAAAAATTGAAGTATAATTGTAAACATTAAATATTCCACACAGTCTTGACTTTTGTGAGGAAATAATCAATTATTTCCAAAATATAAGGTTAATTGCATTAATTACAAATTAATTAATAAACACAAAATTCTACAGAAAAGTGTAACAGCATGTTCTGCAATTCTCATAGTCGTCATTTATTATAATCTAGAGTGATATTGAAAAATCTAGCATAATTTCAAAATGTGCAAACTTATTACTTATTTTAAGCTCATTTTAACATTTTACCTTTTTTAACTATTGACCAATTTTTTTTTATACAATATATAGATGCGCATAATTTGATATTAGAAGTACATAAGATATCCAATAGCAATTTTTCTAAATTTATTTTTTAGCCTCACTTCTTTATCATTTACCTCTTTATTTCTGAAACTTGTGTGTGTTGTAGTGCTTCTAGGTCACAAACGGGGTGGGGGGGGGGGGAGGGAGGTAGAGACAACTGAACCAAAAAAAGATTTTTGTTATATTCTCTAATCTATACAATTGATTAAAATCTATTTTTTGTTCATAGATCTCTTCAAACTTTTCATTTTACAAACTTATATCAAAAGGTGTGTTTATTTAGAAAATGGAGTTTCTCTTGTTTATTTTTTTTTGTTACTTTAAAACTTATTTTTGTTGTTCTATTTTTGCAGCATGAAGAGATCGAGAGATGACTCTCCATTTGGTTTTTCCCATAGAGATTCGTAAGATCTTTGCCTTCGGTTCATTTTTTTCTACGTCAATTTTGTATGTACTAAAATTTTTTAGTTGATTTTTTGATAAATTAGTTATTTTTCATTCCTATGATGTATGGTCTGTGTATCTTAAGTGATCAAGACATGTTAGATGCCATTTTTTTTGCAATTACTCAACAACTCAGAGTAGTTAAAATCATTTTTTTGTCTTCCCTATAATTATTAGGCACAACTGAAGATAGAGATTGAATCTTTACCATTTGTTGCGTTTGTTAGGGTTGATCTAGATCGATTTTTATTTTTCAGATAATTCTTTGTTAGTTGAGGGCTCCAACGTATGAAAAGTACCACCATTTATTTGGTTGTATCATATATTAAAGGATTTGTCAATTCTGAATGAACTATTAAATGTTTTTTCATTTATCCCAAAAAAATCATTGATATAAACTGGAAGACCGTTTAACATAACTCTATATTATATATTGGACAAATAAATTTTACTACAAACTTTTAGCTATCGTTCTATTTGTCACAGTCAATCACATGTTTCTGGAGGTGATTTGGGTAATATTAGTGGTGATAGCGATGTTGAAAGACCTGGTGCCAGTAAGCCAAAAATGACGATTGATGAGGCATTCTCTTATTTGAACCAAGTTAAGGACACGTTTCCAAATCAAAGGGAGAAGTATATCACATTCCTTGTTGTTATGATGGACTTTATGAGAAAAAGGTTTGTTGATATTACAATTCGACTATTGTCAATCGACCCTAATTTTTATTATTATTTGATGATTTATGTGGAACTAAGTCTTGATATTTCTCACAGAATTGATATTGTTGGTGTCATAGAAAAGGCAAAAGATTTATTCAAAGGACATCCTAGTTTGCTCCTTGGTTTAAATCCCTTTTTACCCAAGTGCTATGAAATAGTCTTGAATGATGAAGATGAGAAAACATATTTGATGGAACAAGTACTCAATTTTGTGAAAAAAATAGAGGTTACATATATGTTACTTTATGATTTTAATAATAAAAGGTCTACCTTTTTATTAATTAAAAAACTTTACTCCTAACTTATGGCCTCATAACTTGTTGCAGGAACGTTTAGAAAATTACAGTGAGCTGAAAGATATTTTTTCCATGTTTAAAAAGTAGAGAAAGAATGCCAAAGAGATGCACAATAAGGTGATACTATATATAATTTGAGTACATAGATATTTTGGACAACCCTCGTACTCTTGTTTATAAGTACTATTTTTTTATGTGTAGGTTATCTTACTTCTCAAAGACCATCCTGATTTGCTAGAAGAGTTCAAAGTTCTTCTAGGTCGACTCAGTTACTGCTAATCAACTATCTTATCTAAACAAACCTAAACCATTGATGAAGTTAAATATAGTACTTTTATCATGCTCTTTGTTTCAAATATGCATCGCTATGCAGATTTAATTGAAAACATATTTCAAATAGTTCGATTGAAAACTCATATTGTTATATATTATTGTTCATCCTTTGTTTCATCTAGCCCGACATTACTAACTTGATACTGAACTTTGATCATGTGAGGTATACTATTTCTTTTTTCTTCATTTTTACATTTTCAATTAGTATATTATTAGAGATAAACATAATACAATACCCGTACGCGTATGTTAAGGGATATAGATTTATAAGATGCCCTAACTATAGTGACAAAAAAACCTATTTAGATATAATTGGTACAATATGTCCTAGTTTGGTACAATCCATCCATTTATGAGCTCTTTCCATTTCAATCAGAGCCGTAAAAAGTTACACTAATATATTTAGCTAGATTATCCCATGGGTAATCTTATCAAACTGTTTTAAAGAACAAGTTTCATTTTTTGATATGTTATATATTGGTATAATAAAGAAAAATTATAATTTTAAAAGGTAAAGAACAAAAAAAAGAAAATGAAACTTAGTAAGAAGTGGGTGGATTGGGGCGTGAGCCATATTTTATCCCAATAAATTTTAACAGAAATAAATTTTGAGTGAGTCAATAATTGATCTATATATTAACTTAAATTCAGATAAATTTAGCATAACCGACCCATTTGGTACATATACCTACCTGAGTAATCTTGAGGAGAGTTAGAGTTTAGATCAAATAAAATTTAGTTAGAAGAAATTTGATCCATAACCTTCTTTGAATATTTAATAGATAGAAATGACGGTATACTTAGCCCTTAGCCAAAGTGTTCTATTTCAGTTGGTAAAATCATTTAAATGAATCTCATAAAGTCACCCATTTCAGCATTATAGAGAAGTTAGTATATACAATATAATATAATCTAATTCCTCCTTGCAAAAACTGAAGTATAATTGAAACATTAAATATCCAACTTAGCCTTAGACTTTTTTAAAAAAACAATTGACCGCATAAGTGGTTAAAAAATTGTAATCACCCTCGAGGTCATTTGGGTGTTTTAGGTGCTTCTACTGTTTTGCCCCTTTCTTACCGTTGTTATGGTGTTTGTGTGGTGTCGGAATCGGTAGCATGCTTCTTGAGGTAATTGGTTGTGTTTAGTTTAACTTTGTCAATCTTTTGTGGCCTTATGCTTAAAGAGTTGAATTTAGTCAACTTGCGGAGATTTTGATGTTAGATTAGAATTTCATCAGTTCCATCAGATATAGAAGAGTTATTTTGGTCAGGTGTGATGATCGGTTATGGTTTTGAGGCTTTGTTTTTGGAGTTGGTTCGTGTAGGAGTTTTAGCCTTTAAGTTTTCCTTAAAGTTTAACTTCCACTACAACAAATTCTACTATCAGGGACAAATAATTTCGTCATTTATAAATTATATTTCATCACTTAAAATCTTGTTTGTTGAATGAAATTTCGCCAATCAGTCTTCACTTAACGTCTGTCGCTAAAAGTATACAACGACGATTTACTGTTGTGTCACTAAAAGTATTATATTAACTACTAAAAGAAAAATCGTCTCCAAATGCATAAAAATTTGTGAGGAATTTACTAATTAAAATAAGTATAATTTGTTTGTAGTTAATAGTATATTTTTTCACTAAAAATGTTATTACTATCGATAAAATTATGTCGTCGCAAATTATTTAGTTCAATAAGTGATGACATTAATTGTCTCAAAAGTTATATGTACTTCGTAGTGAACAAAAGTAGTTTCTTCACTAGCGACTACTTTTTATATACAAAAATATATTTTATACTTAAATGTATAAATCAAGGAAAAATTTATTATTATAAAAACACTTAATAATTTTGTGGGTAAATCTATCATTTTGTCACTAAAAGTATTAGTTTTACCGACAATATACACTGTCATTTTAAATTATCACGATTACTGACAATTAAAATTGTCATAACAGAAAGAAATATCTGGCACTTCAATTTTACGAGCTTCTTCCTTGGAGTGTGCACTTTCAAATAGTTGTTTTAACTTGTAACACCACTGTCGACTTCTTTTTTTCTAGATATACTCACAACTATCATTCATGTAATGTTCATCCAAACTAATCTCAAACCACTCCTAAAAAAACAAAAAAGTTTTGAATACACTTAAAAAATGATAAAAATACCTCTTATATTAAAATAACAATCATCACATCTCCTAGCATATTATTCAATCTGGCTGATTTTTATTAACTATCAAACCTGCATCTTGTTGAAATCATTTATACAATCTGTTAGTTTATAAAAATAAAATAAATTACAGTTCATATGTGATTTTACACTAACAAGGAGAACCTAGAAAAATATTTAAATGGGCTGAACAGTTGGAGTAGGCACAACTTAAAGGCAAGGCTCTGCTACTTTAGTTTACATATTGTACTTGCCAACATAAGATTACAATATTTTGATTGAGATAAATAAAATTGTGATTCAAGCTGAAAATACTGATCCACAAGTTTCGATTTTTTTTAGAAACTACTGATCCACAATCATCTTCTTGATATCATTTATACGATCTCGTACTTTTTCAAAAAATAATAATAATTACAGCTCATATGCAATTACTCTTGAGTCATATCGAATAATCTTTTCCACTAATAAGGAGTACCTAGAAAGGTATTTAAATGGGCTGAAGAGTTGGAGTATGCACAAGCTAAAGGCCAAACCTCTACTGTTGTAGTTTACAGAACGTCCGTGGCAGTTTAAGCTAAAAATAATATGATTAAGATGAATAAAATTGTGATCCAGGTTGAAAATATTGATCCACAAGTTTCTATCTTCTTTAGAAACTGTTGATACACATGCATCTTCTTGATAGCATTTATACGATCTCCTACTTTATCAAAAGATACTAATAATTATAGTTCATATCTGAGTACTCTAGAGCCCTATGTAGTATAATTTTACACTAACAAGGAGTCCGTAGAAAAGCATTTAAGTGGGCTGAAAAGTTGGCGTAGGAACAAGCTAAAGGAAAAAGTCAGTTGCTGTTGTAGTTTGCAAAATGTCCCAGGCAGCATAAGCTTACAATCAGGTTGAAAATATTGATCCACAAGTTTCTATCTTCTTTAGAGGATCCCTGAGAAATTGTTTATGAAGGAAGCTTGAAGAGATGAATGTATGCCCCTAGTTGTTATTTTAGTAGCAATTAGTTGAGTTGATGTGCTATTTGTTTGTTTTAGTAGCAATCAGTCGGCCCCTAGTTGTTGTATTAGTAACAATAAGTTGAGTTGATATACTAGTTATTTGTTTTCTAGTTTATTAATGGTTGATAATACTGATCCACAAATTTCCATCTTATTTAGAGGATCCGTGAGAAATATTTTAGGAAGGAAGCTTGAAAAGATGAATGTATGCTCAGAGTTTTGTCTAGAAAGACCTTTGGTTTGGTTTTTGAGGTTTTTGGGATATATTTGTGGGTTTCAGCATTTTGTTTGTTATTTCATTGAAAATGTTGACTTTGATGAGATGATTTTTGTTGGTTGTTTCGTTGATTCCATTGAGTCCGAATATCGTTTCTAGTCTAGAATTATACTTAGTTTGCGTTGACAGGATTCTGAACGAGTTTCGGACCCCAATAGAGGATTTTATTCTTTAGTGATTTTACTGATGCAATGTTGCTGGTGCAGAACTAATTCTTTCATCACAATCGTGGAAAGTCTCCTCCCTCTCCTTTGCGTATGAGGGCTCTGGTGCGTATGAGGGCATTAACTTGGAACTATGTGCATCTAAAGCTTAAGTGTCTGCTTTGATGACCTTTGCGATCACGAGGAGGTCTCTATGATCGTGAAAATCAATTTAATATTTGCCAATGTCTTTTTAAAAGACTGGGCAACAACCAAAACAGCATTTCCAATATGATTTTTAGGTGATTTTTGGAGCATTTCTTGTCGGATTTGGGTGATTTTTGTTGGAGTGTGTTGGGAATGTTCATTTTCTCATTCCAGGATGGTTGAATCTTCCATTGCTCTTGGTAATATCCACAATTCATCTTTATTTCCCTATTTTGAACCCTTGAGCTAAATTAAATGGTGGTCTTCGTTTGTCTTGATCAGAAATCGGTTTGTACTCATGTTTGGGGGCCAAGTTCTTTTAGTGGTTTGAAACCTTGTAACAGAGTCGATTTCGTGACTCCATGCACGATACCACTTTTGCTTGTTGGGGGTTTCTTGTTCTTTTGAGTCCCTTTATTTATTATTGCTTTGTAATGATTGTTTTTGTGTTCCCTTGGACGTTGTTGATAGCTTGGCACTGTTCCGACACTCTTTGGAAGGGCAAAACTCCTGAGTAATTTTTATGTGAGCGTGTATTCGGCCTCGAGGTAGGGAATGGTCTCTACTTCTTAGAATAAGCCCTTTCAGATATGTTATAATCTAGTAGTATTGTATGATTTGGTTAAACCTTAGGATTAGCTTGGATTTTGCTGCCTAGTTGATTTATGGCCATTGATGGGTTGTTTAGGTAGTATTAGCCAAAATCTTTAGTTTAGGGTGCACTTATGCTTGTTGACTAGTATCCCTAGAAATTCTCATAGGTCACGTGAACCTAAGGATTGTTATGTATTTTTTAATTTTGACTCGGTTTGTATGCCTTTATAAATTCTTGAATTTATGATTTGTTTCTCGATTATTGAGTTGTTGGTCTTGAGGTCGTGACCTAGAAGCAGTTGTTCTTGGTTAGTCCTCTTGTGGTGTGACAAATATTCTTGCCAGTTTTCTATCGATGAAATGACTTAATTGTGATGATGCCTGGGAGGGGTGTTACTTTTGGGATGAACTTTGATGGAAATGACTTGGTTTTAAAAAGGAAAAACTTGAGTTTAATGAGTTGAAAGTCTGCGACACCCATTTGATTCAAGAGTTTATAAAAGTCCCTTTTACTTCGTTATTTGTAAATTTTTGAT